CTAACAAACACTTCTTATCTTCTTTAGAAGCCTTTTATGCTCCTGCTCTAGACAATTCTAGGCTGCGTCTAAAACAAACATGTTGCAATAGCTCCCCTTTCTTAAACACTCTACGCACTTCTCTAACAACAAAGTTATTAGATAGAAAGAACTGCTTAAATAGTAAGAACTATAAAAGTGCATCTTTGTACACCAAAGAGGGTTAAGATAGGCAATAGTGCAGAGGCGACAAGTAGCAGTAGACAGACAAGAATGCTAACAAGGCATAGTTAAAACAGATAAATATCTAAGAAGCCTATATAGAAGAGCACTTACTAATTAAAAGAAAATTCTAACACTTAGAACAGTGTAAGCATAATAGTAAGAACACTAACTAGGAGAGAACGCTGCGTGTTACAACCTATAATTAGACTATAAGTAACTAATTAGCAGTGCCCTACAGTTTAAATAATTGAGGATAGAAAGTTCTTAACTCTGCGCTTAAAAGATTACGTGAACTAACAGAAAACAAATAGGTTTAGCTGCTAGACTAATGCGCGGCAGAATATGTTGTCTAATAAGGAAGAGTAGGCTGCATGCACAAGCATGCAACTAAATGCACACTAACAGGCTTTAGTATAAGCATGCAAAAACATGCAATCGCATGCTATTAAATGTATATAGTTTTGCTTACAACTATAGCTAGAAGGTTATAATTATTGTTTAGTCTTTACATATAATAGACTAAGAGGCACTAATACCTTTTTAAAAAGGACATTGCTGCCTTGTATATCTTGCATTATATATACCTTCTATTCTATCCTTCCTAGATTAGTTTACTAGCTTACTATACAGCTGCTAGGTTAAACCACAATCTGCCTTCTTTACTTTCGCCCTACCTATACTCTGCTAGACAGACTGTACACCCGATCTAGCTAAGTCCTTCCCCTTCTCCCTTACATAACCATAGGCTGTAGTGCTCTCGAAAATACCATTTTGCTAGAGCAAGGATTGTAACAACTTAGTAAAGTAAAATACTTTACTAAACTAAACATTATTACTACTTTTAATAAGCTAAAAATAGCTAAAAGTAATAAAAATAGAAGGCATTTACAAAATGCAACTACTGCTTCACGCTACAGGCGATATGCAATAAGTAGGTAGAAGATGCAAGCATGTAGGGAATGTATAGGTTACTAGAGGGCTAAGAGGTTTGTTAGTTTAATTAGGTACTGCCTTAGGCTAATGCTGCGCTGCTCGCGTTTTAGGGGCATTAGGTTCAGCTGTGGCTAGAAGAGCAGATGCAGAAGGCTAGAGTAATAGACAGTAGTTTTAAGATGCGGCAGCGTCAATAGATAGGGCAGAAGATGCAGATAGGGCAGCGGAATGCGAGCAGGATGTGCAGCTTACTGTAAGCGTGGGAGGAGGGTTTAGTGTAGGTAGAGTCTGCCTTGCATAGGCGATACTACGTCTTTTGCTACGCTCTATTCTTCTACATACAACTACAGTATGCTTTATGTTGATGAATATCTACAAATTAGCATTATAAGCAGCCTCTAGACTATTTCCTACTAGCAATCATCCTACTTTTACATAAAACCAGCAACCTATACAGACGCTGCTTATGCTAGACGAGGAGCACCAGGCAGCGGCTGGGCTCCGACTGGCTTTGCCGCGGCTGCAAGTGCTGGTCCACCAGGCTTCAGTGCGGATGGTGGCTAGGCTGTAGGGGTGGACTTGGGAGCTTCCTGATACATGACTAACATGCCTGTTGCTAGGATTACAAGGCATCCTGTTATACACTAGTGTAGAATAATTAAGGTCTGACCTGCAGTAATAAGCAGTCTATCTTGAGCACGGGAAAAGAGCAGGCTTCTCTCTTTAGGGGCTGCAGTATAGTTTTAATGTTGAGAAGGGATTGCTAGTTGCGTGTCTTAGGCGGTTGCATATTAGATGCCTGCAGATGTTGTAGCCACTGCAAGCGTTGAAGCAAGACCTAGCGCAGCAGCTACCTAAAGGCTTATAGTAGCCCACCGTCTGTATTCAGCGCTTCCAACCGTACGTAATACGATTTGACTCGACTAAATCCAAGACGTTACGTCTAACTATCTTAGTACGTTTCTACTATACAATTAACATAAGAACCACTTACAAGTCTTAACTGTAACAATTAAGAATCCTTGTATAGCTTAACAACTTAGCAGATGTTACAACGTAACGCTAGAATAAATATAATCTAAGAGAGCTAAGAGCTTAGAGTTAATTGCTCTCTAACAGAGCTAGTTCTTCTGCAATTAAAGAGCCTTAATTATCTCTTTAAAAAGGCAGTTCCTGTTAAAGTAGCAAGTCCTTCTCTTACTAGAGAAAGCTCTCTCGCAGTTGCAGGACGTACATAAGATAAAGAGAAAATTAAGGGCAATTTTAAAGAGCGTAGAGTAGAAGAAACATTCTACTTTTGTTTACTATATAAGAGGATCTGTAAATAAGGGGCTGTTATTCTTAGCTATAGCAAAGTCCTTCTAATAAGAGTTATAATACTGCTGCAACTCTAAGGTTTTCTACTACCTTTTATATAAGTAATTACTAGTAAAGAGAGAGATGTCTATAAAAAGAGTCTTCTTAAATCTATTATTGTAATAGTTGCTACTAGGTAACTTGCAACGCTAGGGCAGCTAAAGAGGGTTATCCTTGTTAACTTTAGCCTTAGCCTCTGCATTAACATACTGCTAGAAAATAGCCTTTATTAAGACCTTAGCTATTTTGTGCTATAATAAGTGCTTTCTTTAATAATTCTTAAACTAAATAAGATAAAGTTAAGAGTTAAGTATAGTTGCAACGCAGTAATAGAATATAAAGAGTTCTAAAATAAACTTGCTCTAGTATAATGTTAACTTCTTAATGCTATATAATATGCTGTTCTTAAGGTAGAAGCTTTTATCCTTATGCTTTACCTTCTTCTACACCTTATAAAGTTTGTTATATAAGCGCTAAAGATTAATAATTATTATTTAAAAAAACTTATACTTACTGTTGCCTTTTATCCTCTTAGTTATAAAGTAAAAGACTTTAAAAAACTTGTAAAGGCAGTCTACTTCCTCTTACTTATTTTTAGTTATTACCTTAGTAAGAGTAAAGATGCTAGGCGTAGTAGAGTTGTTATTAGTGCCTCTCTACTTCTAGATAAACATTATAATAGTTGTTTTAAGCTTATAACAGCATAATAGCATAAGATATACTAAATGCTAGCAGACACTGCTATCTTGTATAAGAGAAAAGGTTCTAAAGCTCTAGAAAGAGTTGTTAGTGTTAACAGTAGCTTAATACATTATAAAGGCCTTCTAGTGTTTATGTAATGCTAACACTGCGTTTACAAAATTATAAAGCTTGCCTATAACTCTATGCTAGCAGTATATATTAAACTAATCCTAGGGAGCAGCTTAGGCTAGCTTAGTCTTAAAAGCACTAAGCTCTTTGCAGTATATTACTGCCTTAACAACTAGCTAGATTATATAACCACCACAGTGTATACAGTGCTTAGAGGTAAGCAGCATGTTAATGTGCTTAGTAAGGTTAGTAATAGTTTCTTTATTATTATTTAATACATTGTTAGTAACTAAATAATAGAATTTTAACATAATTTTAAAGTTATAGATAACAGCAGCAATCTTATGCGCTTAATTTGCTCTTATATAGTTGCTATAAAGGTTTTAAAAGCTAATAAGTAGGTCTTAGTGCTAGTAGTTGCTATCTATTTTTACATAGTTAATTATTGTAAGGTTTTTAAGCTGCTAAGGCGCTAGTGCTAGGGAATTACTAACTTACTAATAAAATAAGCTACTACCCTAAGAAAGAAGAGGTAGTTTAGCAAAGTCTATATATTAACGCTTAACATAACCTTTAACTAGGCTATCTTTAGTACTGTTTAAATCTCCTGCTTTTGCTCTATAACTCTAGAATTTACATATAAAGAATATGTAGTAGGCGACAATAAGAGGGCGCAGAGAAGGTTAGCACAGTTTTAAGAGATAATGTCCTAAAGTTTAGCTAATAAAGCTTTAGTAAAAAAAATATTATAAAGGATTACTTAGTTAACAACTGCCTTCTGTAAAGACTTTTCCTGCTAGATAGTGTAAGTAACAATATGCTCCTCTCTAGCAACCTTATAAGTAATGTTAAAGGGATTAGCTAGAAGCTATAGCCTGTTAGGTAAGAGACTTCTATTAGCATTAACTTAGTGCTTCTTTCTAAGATAGCTAATAATATAGTTGTAGCTATTAACCTTCTTCACCCTAGCCTAGAGGCCCTGCGTGTGGCATCTCTTGCATAGCTAAAGCCTTAAAAGGACGCCTTTACTGTCCTTGTACGCTAAATCTACTCTATGCTGCTATATAAAGGAAACAGGACAATTACTGCAAAGCTAGCTCTTGTGTTTAACGCAGTAACTAAGCCTTTTTAGTAAAAGCTTTTTATTTATTAGCTAAAAGTTATCCTACTTAATAGGGAAGATTATGCTATTATTAAAATAATTATTCGCTAAGAACTCTCTTATAAATTTAACTACTAGCGTCCTATTACAAGAGCTAATAGATAGAGAGGATAATAAGGCCTTTAAGTAAGCAAGATAATAAGAACTAGTGTAATAAGCTACTTTAGCTTATTAGAAGGAGCTAGCTTAGAAGGAGCTAGCTTAGAAGAAGCTAGCTTAGGATGAGGCTGTACGCCTGCTATGCTAGAGGAATTAAGATAATTAGCTTATAATAAGTAAGAGAATAGCAAATTATAACTTAAAGATAATATAGAGCGCAAAAAAGTTAACTATTTAAATAAAATCTAATACCCTAGCCCCCCCCTCTCTAACACGTCCTTGCTTGTAGCACACAACAGATTTTTCACCTATTGTTACTTAAAAACGCCCGCTTAAACAGCCTCCTAACGCTTGCCCATAGATGTCCAATTAGGTCCTATATTACTAGGAAAAATCAACTTTCTAAGACGTATTACAGACCGTAAGAGGACCTCTCTTAGTTGTACGTTATGATTGACAATCCTCTTACGTTTGTACGGCTCACGTGACCGTAACTATTCACTTTTCTGAGTCGTAGTACGTACGGTTGGAAGCCCTGTCTGTATTGGTCTGCACGGCCTACGGCCTGTTGTGGCAGGCTCTTTTGATTTGTTTGCCGGAGTCGCTGCTCGCCCTTGCGTAGATGGAGCTTTAGGAACGTAAACCAAGCTAGCCCTATACAAAACATAGCTCCCGATGCGGCTAATAGAGGAGGATATATTCGGCCTTGCAATGTAACCGCAAACTGAAGAAACGGCTCCGCGTCTATTAGGTGTGGTAGGAGTGCAGAGTATTGTAGTAGGCGTGTTGCTAAAGCAACTGCGGTCATTCCATGTGTAGAGAGACAGATGTAGTTTGAGGGCGCCTGAGCGCAGAGTCCTGCTTAGGTTTAGTATATGGCTCTCTAGTAGCGTGTAAGGGAAGTACTAAAATAGCTAATCCGGATATCAGTAGCGTTAGCTCCGCTGGCATAGACTAGTTCTACCTTGAGTAAGTAGAGGTTCTGTAGGCCAGGTAGACATGAAGTTATAATAATAGCTATTAGTTAGGGTTAGCATAAAGACTAGAGAGAAAGAAGGTGGTGATCCTACGGTATAATAGAAGCAGAGGCAGAATAAAAAAAGACGTTAGAAATCCCCAGTTTGCGTCCTCTAACCAGCGTGTTAGTAGAGAAGACTACAGAAGGGAGAGGTAATACATGCGCCATCGTTCATGCCAGGTCATTATTATGGCAGCGCGTGTGTATAGTAAGACGGTAGGGTTAGGAATTTGACAGAGGAGTTAGAGTAACAGTGTAAGGTGTAGAGTTGTTAGATCCGTATCTCTGCTTTGTAGGTGGAATTGTTAAAGTTCTCTTCTTTTGATACTATTTATTTTACCCTAGGCCGTGCGGCGCTTCAAGCGTTAGCCTTGCGCTAATTAAGTGAAACATAACGCTGCTATTCTTAGTAAAGCAAACTATAGCAGATCCATCTCAAACTAGTAGCCTTTCCATGTTGCTTGGAAAAAACGGGTGGGACAGATGCGGCGTAGTTATTCCTTTCCCAGATACAGAGAAGGGGTGGCGCCGCCCTACAAGGCTTATACTTCCGTGGCACGGGTTTCACGGCGCGCGCAATTATTGCGGCGTTGTGCATCAAGTAATTGCAAATCTTATGGCTAACTGGACAGCGTTTCCTGGTATAGGGAATGAGCGAGGGTAAGGCGCGTAGGTAGTAGGGCTTAGACTGCTTAGTTCAGGTAATACACACGTACGTCTGTTAGATTCACACGGCTGTACTTTATCTCTAACTAAAGTAATGACTTAGACGAGTATAGGCGCTTTGTTGTGTAACAAGCGGATGCATCAGCGTGCTATAGCAATTGGCTGCTGTTCAACAGTGGGTAGTCTTCGCGCGCGCCAGTGACCTTGAGAATAACATGTAGCTAGCAAGCATCATGGTGCCCCTTTGCCCACGGGTGAGGACATGTATAAATACTCGCAATGCTTCTCTAGCTTGTAACTCTCTACCAACACAAGCATTATTATATCTCTATCCTAGAACACAACTCCTACCAACAACGATGTGCACCAGGGTGGTTACCACTACTACCTACCGATGCGGGCATACTGAAGGTGGAAGCTACGTCACTCCTTGCAATGACGACGACTGTCCTGGTGTCCCTACTCAGACAGTGTATGCGGCCTCGTCTACAAACCGACGTTACAATTGCTCAAGCTGTCGATAATCTAGCAACTAGTAAGTATTTGCACTCTTTATTTAATTCAAGCTAATTGCTGATTTTTATATAGCAAGAGAGCCTTACGCCAAGAGCAGGAAACGCTAGGGGGCTAGTTGCTGGGAAGGTGGTTGGGCATGCGAAGGTGGTTGGGCATGCGAGGCTGATTGGCTAAGACAGCTCGGCGGTTACTGCAGGTGCAGCGGCTAGTGTGAGCCTATTGCTGCAGGAACGTATATAAAGAGGCTAACTCCCCTACTTACGTTTCTACCTACCTTAAACCAACCCTCTATCTACTGCTGCGCTGCTGTCGCATAGCTATATTACTGTACCTTGTATTGTTGCCGCTATTTCTTTTATAAACAAGCTCTTACTATCCTCTATTTCTTGTCCTCCCTCGACCAAAAAATGCCACCACGTTTTGATGTGCCAGTACTGCAATTTCCTGTTCCGGGGTATAGCCGTCAATTCGCCTACGGTGGGACTGCTGCGCTTGCATTATCAGACGACAGCAAGAGGGTGCTCAAATTTCCCTTGACGCTTGAGACTGAGCACTGTAACGCGCAGGTTGCTGCAAGGGCACGATCGCAAATGGAAGAGTCGCACATAATGCTAGAGCGTGAGAAAGAGATATACCGGCATCTTGGCTTACGAGCTGGCATCCTTGCGCCGCTTGAAATCTCGTCTGCTGGCCTCGTCTTTCCGTTTTTCAAAAATGGGGACCTACGGGCATATCTGCAGAAGACATGGGGCGAGGTTAGGCAGGATCAGCTGATGCTTTGGGCAGAGGAGGCCGTTGAGCGGATATCCTTTACGCAATCCATGGGTGTATACCAATGCGATATTAGCACGAGGAATTTTCTTGTAGGGGACGACTTGTCCCTAGTACTAAATGACTTCTCTGGGTCACGAGTTGGGGACAAAGCGGAGCTGGTTGGGCCGGAGACTAGCTATGCGAAAGCGCTACAGGATGATCAGTATGGTACACTGCAGGGATGCATAGAAGGGGAGGTGTTTAGTATTGGGAGTCTGCTATATGAGATTCTCACAGGCCAAAAGCCTTATAGTAATCTTAGCGACAGCGAGATTACTCATCTTTTCCAACAGGGAAGCTTTCCTACTACAAGTACACTAGCTCTAGGTACTATTATTCAAGATTGTTGGATGGGGCGGTTTTCTACTGCTGAGGAGGTTAAGGTAGCTCTTGAAGCAGCGAAAATTAAGAGAGCATAAGAGGAATTACTAAGGAGAGGTATGGGTAGGAGAAGAAAAGAAGAAGTTGTAACGGGGCGGAACCTCTTGTGGGTTGCTGGTGCGTAGGGGGGTATGTCTTATCACGACGAGGTGAAGTGAGGGCGACGAGGGGAGGGGGGTCTTCGGGATAAGTACCTTGATCAGTTGGTACCTAAAGTGAAGAGGGGGTTGTCGGGTGAGTAGCTCTACCTGCTTGTTCAATTCCGTGTAAGCCTGGTGGGCTGGAATTTGTTCATCCTTAATCTTTTCCAATCTTGACGTGATGTCAGAAGCTGTTCTGGTTGTACTGGAGTTGGTGGATCTCGTGGCCATCGTTTCGGTTGTTTGACGTTGAGGACAAGGTAGTTAAGTTGTAACGGGGCGGAACCTCTTGTGGGTTGCTGGTCTGTAGGGTGGTATGTCTTATCACGACGAGGTGAAGTGAGGGCGACGAGGGGAGGGGGCCTTCGGGATAAGTACCTTGATCAGTTGGTACCTAAAGCGAAGAGGGGGTTGTCAGGTGGTAGGCAATGGATTGTACGAGTACTGTACGAGTCAACAGTTCAAGTTGTTGCAGAGCAAGCGTTAGGAAGACTAGATCGCAGTGACTACAAATTGCTAAGGTAGCAATTCGCGTTGACTATATACTTGAGATATCTTGGCGTGCTCTGTGATTCCTGGCCAAGATGATCTGTACAGATCCTTCAGACCCGCTCTCACAGATTAGTCTTGGCTTGCCAAGACAGATCAGGTATCCAGGTTGTGATAGGCCTCACAGCCGAGGTCCTCTTCCTGTTCTTCCACTGGTTTGCTTAGTTCCTCGGGTCCCAGCCAATTGGGGGACTGCGCTACGTCCAGCGTATTGTCATTCGTAACACTATAGGCCTTGTATAGAAGAACATAAGAAAACTACTAAGCTAGCTAGAAAGACTAGTATAGCTAAATACATAAAGATAGAGGTTAACCTAGTAGCTAGGAATACAAGTTAGGCTAGGATTTAGACTTAATATAGAAGACTCTTAAATAGCTATTTATAGAAAAAACTTAGACTAGTATAATTTCAATAATAAACAATTTCTATAATTATTGTTAAAATATATATTTTAGTTTAGTACGCTTAGCAGCTAAAAAGAAAACACATGTAACATTATAGTTTAATTTTTGTACCTAAATAAGAAGAGGTTATAATAAAGGCTATTTAAGTTATACATAGTATAGTAGGTAGAAGTAGGTATCTATTAGTATAGCATAGAGTAGAAGATAAACAGATTATTTTATTATACTAGAGAGAAAAAAAGAGATATATATATTAAAATGTTACTAACTAAGCATAGTAAGCAAGTAAATAATAATAGTAAATTATTAATGCTAGCTATTCTATAAGGCTACTATATATATATCTTTATAATAGATTACGTAGCGTAAGCTAGTAGAGCTAAAGTTATTAGAATAAAGGTTTTATAGTGTAGAAAAGTAAGAAGCTTTAAGAAAAAAGAATAGCTAGATAACTAACAAAGCTAACTATTCTAGAGTAGTAAATAGAACCTTATAAAGTACTAACTAAAGTTTAATTTTTATTAGAGATAGAATAAACAGATTTTATACATATATTAACGTACTTCATGGGCGAGTCGCTCACACACCTGAGTTGCTTACTTTTGCCAAGACCCTACCACACTACTTTTCCTACACTAATGCATTCCTAACAACACTACTTAAACGTGTTAAAGGAACGTTAGATGCAGCTTGCGCTCTAGGCTTTTAAACAAGACGCAACACTTTCTAACTAACGCGCTGCAGCTATCTATAGGGTCCCTTAAAAGACAATAAGCAACTAACGCGCTAGACAACCTTCCTAAGCTAATTGTACAGCTAACTTACAAAAGCTAGATAATAATAAGGAGCAGGTAATTATTTAGCACATACTTAAGCTAGATGCGCGAGGATTTCCCCCCTAGCTAGCAGCTATGGCTAATATAGCTAATTCTTTACACGCTAAGCGCAATATAGGCTATATTAGCATAAACTAGCCTAATATGTTTATTAAGTGTTACCTAAAGCTTAAAGTAAAGTTTAAGCGTAAGTATAACTATAAGAGAGCCTTTTATAAGAATCTTGTAGTAATTTAAGGCTAGTTTAACCTTATAAAGAATATTAAAGCTAAGTATAGCATCTAGGATAACAACACATACAACTTTAACAAGACAGGGTTTATAATAGGCTAGATATCTACTAGAGTAGTTGTTATAGGTTTAGAGAGACAAGGACAGCTAAAAGCAGTCTAGCTAGGCAACTAGAAGTAGACAACAGCTATCTAGGGCATTAATGCTAAAAAGTAGGCTATTCTGCCTTTTATTATCTTTTAGGGTAGCAACTACTTTTTAAACTAGTATAAGAAGAAAAATCTACTCTAGAATTAAGTTATTATAATCTCTAAGCGCAGCTAGACTACTAATTAGCTTAGTCTAGACTAGTTAAAGCACTTTAACACGCATATAAAGAAGTGTACTGTTAGCAGCTACTGTCTGCTAGTTATTAACAGCTATAAAAGCTACAACTTACTTTATTTCTAGTAATACTATAAGAATAATAAAATTATTACTATTTATATGCTTTTTTACTTATTGCACCTTTTATAGCTACTTAATATAGGTTGTTTTGCTTCTTTAAAGAAGGTGTATAAGCGCTAAGCTAAAAACCTTATGCGCAACTAGATTACTTATATTATAAAAATAAAGTTTTTACTATGCTTTAAAGTAGCCTATAATGCTGTAATTACTTCTAGTAATATCTAAGAAGGGTTCTAAAGCGCTAGATTAGTTCCTTTTAACCCACAACAGGTTATAATAGGCCTTAATGTAAAGTTATGCACTCTATTACTACTACTACTTATATATAATAAGCCCTAGTAGTTGTAAACTCTAAGTAATACCTTAGAACTTAAGTTATAATTAATGCTTATAAAGATAAAGATTTAAAAGCATATAAATAGTTTACTAACTTTTATAGTTAAAGCATTTAAGAAGGTCTTAAAGGGGGCAGTAATAATTATGTATAAGCTAGTATTAGTGTAATAGGAAATTACTAAGCTTTAAGCAGCTAATAAGGCTACTACACAACATAAATTACATAAAAGAAAGCAGATTAAAGTAAAAGAGACCTTAATAATTTAGAAAGGCCTGCGCTTAACAGCTCTAAAGGAGTTTAAAGCGCGCAGTAATAGAAAAAAGGCAAAGAAGCAGGTGCAAGCTAAAGTAGGTAAGCTATTCTAAAGGCGCTGCAGACAGTGCAATTAGACTAGGCATAACACACAAATGTGTAAGCAAGAAGTAGAAGTAGTATCTAAATAATATTCTAGGCTGTACTGTACTATATAGTGCTAGAGCGGGTTGTTATAGGCTATAATAAAGTTTATTAGGGTAGGGTCTTGGCAAAAGTAAGCGACTCGGGTGTGTGAGCGACTCGCCTATGAAGTACGTTATAGTATAAAGTAGATTTTATTTAATTTTAGACATAAATTCTATTTATGTTATATAAGCTAATTCTACTAAAATTTATATATGTTTCTAAGAACACTAAAGCGTATCTTATCATATAGAAGTGCGTGGGGACTCTAAACCTAGGAATGCTATTAACACCTATAGGCCTTGTACAAAAGGATATTAGAAAACTACTAAGCTAGCTACAGAGGCAAGGTGCGACTAAATACATAGAGGAATAGAGGTACAGCAGAGGGCAGAGCAGAGGCGGGGCTAGGTTAAGTTAGGGTTAAGCTAGAGTTAGATAGGTTCTAGGCGACCTAAGATAGAACAATTTATAAGAATTGTTACACTACCCCCCCCTCTATAGACTAATAGTCCCTATTAGTAGTAATTATAGTACAAAGTATTGCTGTTATGTTCTTTGCCTTCTTAAACTAAAACTAGTCTAATTTAGCTAGGTGTCCTTGCTAAGTATTCCTTTGCACTGCTAGCAGTGTCCTCTAAACTAAACGCCATGCGTGCGCGCCTACTGTAATATTAATCTGTATAGATGTCTACTCTGTTAAGAATTAAGACCTTTATTTATTACTATCTATGCAGTTATTAATCTTAAGTATATGTTTAGTGTAGTAACATTTAGGCGTTATTAGAGGTGCCTTAAAAGTCTTTTGCTATTAGAGTAGTAAGGGAATTTAAGGTATTATTAAAGGTAATTTAGTAGTTAATTAAGGTCTATTAGGATATGTTGCTATAAAATTAACTCTAAATTAGGTAAAGTATAGCTTAGCTAGAGCGTATTTAACTCTAGGGTTAGAGGGTAGTTAGTTAGACTGTTAGATTTAAGCACTGTTTCTAGGCTTCCTGAGATGAATGATGGGTTTAGATATGATGTATAGGATGATTAATTAATTGTATTAATGGTGTTAATTTATCAAACCTTTTTCTGCTCTACTTGTGTTGCTCGGCTTTTTGTTCTGCCGATCCGAGTCCCTCGCGCACTAGCCCTATGCGCGACCAGCTTGCAACATGCTGCAATTTGCAGTAACATACTGTTTAAGCTTATTGCTTGTACTATGTAGCAGCTTTTGTCAAACGTTCCTCCTGTCTTGACAGTAGGTGCGCATATCTAACAACTACATCTTAGAGACTTTAACACTATTCCTGCTATTACTAGCAGATGCTAACTAACTTAGAGCATACTTTAATAATATTTTAAATGTTATTATACATAAAGACAAAACTACTGTACTTATTATATAAAAATAGAGACACTTTTTTTTTAATATTAGTAAGGAAGAATCTATGTCTTTCTTTACTAAATTAGAACTCTACTGCCTCTACTACTAATTTAAACACCCCTACATAGAGAGACTTTAGAAGATGCTAACTAGCGCCAGCTACAACATTAATGCTGTAGTGCTAGAAGAGATTAAGAAGTTCTACTACCTT